TGGGGGGGCCGTCGCACGTCCCGTTGCGCGTCTCACACGCCTCCCCGTCTTCCTTTATACGCGAACTGCGGAAGGCGCCGGTCCCGCCCCGGCCATGTTGGTGAGCAAGAGGGTGAAGCGCCTTTTGCAGCTGGTGCCTGGGAAGCAGCGCTTCGGCGTTTACAGGTTCCTGCCCTTCTTCTTCCTCCTCGGGGGAGCGATGGAGTGGTTCATGATTAACGTCCGCATCGGCAAGGAGACCTTCTGTAAGTGAGGGCCGGGCCGCGGCGGCGATCCCCGGTGGGGGCGGCAGGAGGAGGCCTGGTGCCCTGATGAGTCAGCACTGCCCCCCCCAGCACCCCCTCCCTCCCTCCCGGTGGTCCCGGACAGCCCCCGGGTCCGAGCCGGTACCATGTGCGACAGCACCTGCTAGTGGTGAACACAACGGGGGCGGTTCCCCTCAACAAGAAGTTAGCGGGGGCTGACGGTGGGGTCCTCACCTGGAGGACTGATCAGCAAGTCAACCACTTCTCTCTTGAGTGCAGGATGTGACACTCCAGGTTCTGTCTCCCTAGCAGGACACTGGGCAGAAACAAACAAAAAACCTGGGTTTAGATTCTAAATTATACTTTTTTACATTGAAAAAGACTCACCGGATTTGTCAGAATTTAAGTGTAGGTGTGGGTTTATCTCAAATGTGACTTTTTTAATGAGGTAATCGAAAAAGAAGTATGAAAATGAGTCATGAGAACTTATTAGCTAACGACACTTAACTCCTAGAAGTTAAAGCACGTAGTTTTAATGTGGCATTCTTCCCTTTAAGGAACCTTGCTAGAAATTTTTGTGTACTTCAGAAAAAGGATCAACTCTGTATTAATATGAGAATATTCTTATTTTCATGGGAAATCTAGCTGAGGCTCCTGCAGAAGAAAACAGCTTGATACAATTTCCATAACTGACGAATTCACTGCAAACAAAATTTATTCTTTGCTCACTTCTGAAGGCTTGGGTTTGTTGTGGTTTTCCCGTTTATTCTGAGGCATATCTATATAGTAATAAAGTCAGGTTAGAGATTAATGTGCAAACATCCGTGTAGCAGCCATTATATTTCAGCTTAAGCCTTATTTTCACAAAAAGAAAATAAATTGCTATGCTTAAATCATGCTATACTACAGTAAGAATAATTGTGCGGTTTAGCCTAACTACTGCTCCATAATCCACGTTCAAGACGGATAACCTTTTTTTTTTTTTTTTTTTTTTTTCTTGTGAGAGGTTTTATTTAGTGATGAATATTTAGGGATGATCAGGGTGTGAGGGGAGGCAGGAAGAACAACTAGGAATCACAAAATCAAGACTATGAAGATCGGTATATTCCTATAGTTTGTTTGTGGGGTTTAGGTTGTGGGTTTTTTGGTGGTTTTTTTGGGTTTTTTTGTTTTTTTTTTTTTCAAGGCTAAAATACTGAAGCCATGCTGGCAGTCCTCAGGAGTTGACTTTGTGCCTATAATTTAATTTCCCTTTGGCTTCAGCCAGTTTGGGCATTTGTATTTTTAATTACCCTCATGGGAAAGTAGACAAGAAATGATTGTATCACACTGGGAACTTAGTTTTCCTATAAAAACATTTCATCAGGACTTATGGGAAGAACTTTAGCCTGGATTGGAGGGAGAACATGAGCTATTTTTAAGTGGTAATAAGGTTTTTTGTTAGCTTGAATTTTCAGTTGCATATCAGTCAGGGTCTGCAGGAGAAAAGTGGATTTAAAAGTCTAGAAAGAGATGACAGGCTTCATACATTTAATACTATCTTGCACTTGGAAAATGCTAATATAAAAAAAAATCTTTTTTCTGGCAGATGACGTTTACCGTAGGAAACGATCTGAAAGACAGTATGAGGCACGGATGGAAAAGAATGATTTTTAGCTGAAACGTTTCAAGGGGAAGGTCCTGAATGCTTCAACTGTATTAATACCAAAGAAACATTACTGCCATGTTGATGGTGGGGAAAGATTTTGCTTCTGCAAGATGAACTGTAATCCACAAGTTCGTGTAATACACTCTCAGATGCTGTTGGCAGTTTCATTCTTCTTCCATCTGCTTCATATCTTTAATATTTTGTATTTAAGCCAAATACAGTAGCAAAAAGTTCATTGTGTTTAGGCCACTGCCACTTATTTAATGTTTGTTTAGTACTTTTAAATAAACTAAACTGAGTAAACATAATCTGGCTACTGCTTTTCTTTGCTTGATGAGACACCATTCTTGTGACAAGTCCAATGGGAAAGAAATGTTACATATTGCCTACATAATAGCACAATGGAAATAGTAATTTTTAGTTATTTTCCTTTGTACTGATAGAAACTGCTGTGGCCTCTGATTTGTTTTCTTTCTAATGTGGCATAATTTTAACTAGATAAAGAGAGAACAGACTCACTGCTCAGTGTTTACTCAGCCCACACTGTTTGGAAAGTCATCCGTGCATTCAGGCTCCACTGCCTACAAGTGCTGTAATACCCATTGTTGCTACTCTAACAATGAACTGAGCCGGGGGCTTTGGGGGAAAAAGTTTGATGTATTATTTACCTGGTAACAGGCGCAAGTTTAGAGGAATGTGCAACGGCAGCCCTGGCAAACCTGAATTCTGTTTGCAGGACTCCTGTCTCCCCAAAGAAGGAAAACAGAGCTAACTGCTCTATCCTGGACAGCTTGTACTCCCCAACGCAGTGACACTAGCTCTCAGGTGCGCAGGAGCGTGTCAGTGACTGCATCAGGGTGACTGGTGCAGTATTATCAGTGAGGATCATATATTAATGCAATTTGTTTCATTTCTGATGGCATGTGTATTTGTTGAGAGTTCCATAAAGAAGCCAATTCTTAAGATCAAACAAACCCAAGGGAGTTCATGTACTTAATGCGTTCCTGTGCTAAGTCCTAACAGCCTTTTTTCACAGAAGTAAGTTTTCATCAACTAAAGAGACAGTGGCTCTTTTGAAGATGTTACGGTACGCAGAGACTCAGCTTGCAAGTGGAGGGTAATGGTTGTACTTTGCATTGTGTCTTCCAAGGACTTGATCTGGAGGACTAGTGCTATTTGTGTGTTCAGGAGATTAAAAAAAACTGACAGAGAATTAGATGTGACTGTGCTGCTGTGTATTTTGACTGGACTGCATATTAATTACCTTGGGAAAACCTCTACTTCAGAAGTAATAGGAACCTAGATTTTGACTTTGGTTCCAAGATAGAGCCCAAGTTCAAAAACTCATACACAAGGTTCTTTTTTCAGTCAGAGATCATTGCACTGAAGTAAATGCTGACTGTAGCAAGGAAAAATAAAGCATTAATAAAAAGCCAGATTTTTAAAATTGCTGAGCTTTAGCTTCATCTGCCTTTACTTCTTGAGCCTTTTGGAACTATCTTGTATTTGGTTTCCACAGAAGCAAGTTTTTCAATATCTTTGTTTTGTTTTTGTTTTTTTTTTTTAAGAGCGAGCCTTGTGCCCTGGTTACTTCTCAGTACTCAGGAGCCTGGTGTGAAAACTTCCTGTGGCTTCCCTTAAGCTCTCCTGTCATAGCAGCAGAGTGTTTCACATGTACATCAGTGAGTCAAAGTCCAGTTTTTCATTTCGGAGCTCTTGCTCATTTTGCAGTACTGTTTCCCATTTGCAGCTGAGAGCACTAGGCACATCTGGAAGATATCCTGGGTGTCTCCAGCTAGGTAAACAGTGAGACAGGCTGCAGATGGTCATAAGAAGTGTGGTGTCAGGGAATTCTGTAGCACTGGTCTTTGTGACCAGTGCAGGAATAAAATCCTTCTCTGAGTTGGCATTGTACCATTTCAGGCAACACAGATCTGTTACATTTAGAAACCTGAACTATATTCCTCATTCTACGATGTGTTTGCTAGCACTGATCCTTCGGCATTCTTCGATTTTGCCAGTCTTTGACTAATGCTGGAAATCAGCATAGCTGGAAGGCCCCAGTGCCCAACCCATTCCAGTACCAAGCACACTTGGGGATTTAGTATCAATTTTAATCTACACCCAACCTTCAACAACCAAGGTCTTCATTTGGTTTCTCAGTTTTACCCCTGCTGTCTCCTAGTTCTGTGCCCTTTGCCTTCCTCAGCAATCTTTCTCATCTTCTTTTTGGCTCTTCCCATTTCCTTCCTGACCTCCAGCTGCCTCCCAGTCTGTCCACTGTGGTGGTGGTGGGCAATGGGGAGAAAGCAAGAACTCTCCTTTGGCTCAGGGCTCAGAACAGCAGTGGGAACACACTGCTGCTGCTGTGATGCACTGTGGGAGCAAGCCAGGAACACAGCTTTCATTTTAAGTTCTGCTGAGGCCCTGCCAGTTCTGGGGTTGAGCACATCTGCTCCTTCGTCAAGGAGTTCATCTGGTGTCAGTCCAGAACACAGCTCAGCATCTACAAACAGCGGTCTCATGTGTTCACTTTGCAGTGGCTGCAGCAGGAGATTTGGAGAATTACAAAGCATTTCTGCTGAAAGCTTTCCAAACTGTAGAAGTCAAGCCAATATAGATAGCAAGCATGGAAAATTTCAACTCAGTAAAGCAGCAGCAGTAAATAGTCATCTGCGAACAAACAGTGATACTTATGTACAAGCAATGCTGCTCACCACTGCAGCATTAGAGAGGGGACAATTTCTCCACCAATTCAGAATCATTTTCTGGAAAAAAATGATCCGTTCGTCAACAATTTCCCTGCTGTTGTGCCTCCAAGGATGCCACCTGCTGAAAGACCTCTGTCAAGCCAGGGAAGTACTGAGAAGTTGTTCTGATAAAGGAAAAGCATGTATGTGCCCAGCCTGTACTTCTCCCTGGCACAGGGGTGCAGCAGTTTTGCCCCAGCTTTTCACAAGTAGGAAAAGGAAAAAATAGTAATCTGTTATGTACTAGCGAATTCTCCCCTAGAGCAAAACTTTTACTATCTTCAGTGGAGGCAAGCTTTCACTTCAGACTTTATAAACAGATAGAAAACTGCACTTGCACTCTGGTTATGGCCAGCTCCAGCTCCTTACAAGAAAGGTGCAAAAATATGCAACGGGCACTGGTGGGATGACTGGTCCTGAGGAAACTCCTTAGGTTTTACTGGGTGATGGTGCTTCATACCAGGCATGAAAATTAATCATAGTCCTCCCAAAAATCATCCAATGGAAACTGAATTTAGGCACTCCCCATAGAGACAGTTGCACAGACTTCATGAAGGACTGACCATCCTTCACCATTTTTGTCCAAGGCTTTCGTTGTGCTTGGCTTAACCTAGGCTGAGCCATACCAGTTACTGGTTCTGCTGCGCAATTCAGTGCATTCTTCTCCATTTCTTTTCATGTCTCTCCTGCTCCCTCCTTTAACAGATGATCATCTGCATGGCTGGACTTCTGCACTGGATTTCTGATCCCTCTTGGTGCAGGAAGGACTGACTGTAGGAGACCACCATGTCTCCAAAACCTGACAGAGACTGGGGATCTCTTTATCCAGGATCACCAGACCCTACTGCACTGCAGGAGCTGTCCTTTTGTTTCTGATGGTCAAAATTAGACTTGCTGGAAAATGCAGTAAGCAAAAGGAATATGACGTTTGTTTTATTAATCAGAAAATTTCACGTGTATCAATGATTCAGATCCTATTTCTTACTTGATGTTCAAAGTACCCAGCCATCTGGAAGCACCGCTCCAGTTTAGCGCTTGCAGTTGAAAGGAGACTATGTACATCTAAGGATGATCTTCAGTATCTCAGACTGAGCAAACAAGATGTGGAGGATGATTAGAATTAGTCTCCTCTGTGCAACTGCACCATCCACCATCAAATTTTAAAAAGCTGGAAGTTCTGTAAAGCTGGCAGCCTGCATGACAGGCAGTGTTTATTTCCTGGGTCCAAGACATAAAGCATGTTAATTAAATATGCTACTGTCTGTTCTGGTTGTTTAAATAGCTGTTTGTAAATTGTATGTCAGAGGCACCTTGAGACTCAAGAGGTTGATACCACTTTATTTTTCTTGTCGTTTCTGGTATTAAAAGAAAATTTCTATTCTGGTTTTTAATTTTATTGCGTAAACGATGCTTTCCCCCATATTACTGTTCTAATTTCCTTTATTATACAGCTACATAAAAAGAGTCCTGAACCAGGTTAGCTTCCAGTATGAAATTAAGGCTTGCTGTTTATTTTCAAAGCAATTAATGTGAGGCCAACTGGGACTGACTGAATCTTATCATCTCCATTCAGCTTGTTCCCAATGCATCACTTATTTTTCAAGGTTTACTGTTCATGCTCCTTATGGATCATTTTCAACAATATTTTTCAGCATCACTGTTCTCAGCACCTATCAGGCATGTCTTGCAATACACAGGACAATGTAAAAAAATTCTTTACCCACACACAAGCACGCACATACCAAGGTCTTGATAAAATCTGGGTCAGCAACAGCCAGCATTCCTTGAAATAAAATTCTAACAAAAGTCTTGATGGTACACTCAAACCTGGTTAATCCAAAACACTTTGCAAACTATTTTTATTCAAATTAAAAAGACTCAGGTAAACAAAGTGATGGTACATACATTTTATAAACCTGGTTAGTAGCTTAACGTTCAGGAGTACAAGATCTAATGAAAAGCCAAGCATGGATTAACCAGGTCCGAAAACATACGCTGAAAAAAAAGGTCACCAACATCAACATTTTGGATTTTTACACAAACAGTAAATTTTATCATGGAAGGGAAGGACTGAGGAAGAGAACAAATGATGATTAGTCTCCAACTGGTTTATGAAAATACCGGTCCTAGATTAATCTATTTTCTACTCTCACAGGAGCCAACCATTTCACATACATACTTTTATTTTAATATGAAAGTTTTGTTTATGCCAGTACAACAAACGGCAGTGGAAAACAAATGAGGGGGGGTTCAAACACCCACAAAGAAAGAGAAAGACAGACAGACATGTCTTTTTTTCTTTTTTTTTTTTTTAAACCAGAGTCAGAAAACAGTTTCTTTTGCTGGTTTTGAATTCCAGACTGTAGCCATTATATCCTAAATTTTACCGCAATCGACTGAAATGCCTCCAATATACAGAGACATGATTTTGAAATAAATAAAAAAAGCTTAAAATAATTGATTAGGGCCAGCCCAGTGGCTTAGCGGTAGTGCTCTGCACTGCCTTGCGGGAGGACCCAGGTTTTGTTTGCACTTCCAATCTCTTGCTCCTGGGCCGGAAAGAGCAGTGAACATAGGGCTTCAGCTGCTCGGGCAGGAGAGAGCCAGTGCTGCAAGTCTGCTCATCACTGACCTTCAGATAAATTAAACATCTGAGTTATACAGGCTCCAAAGGGAGTCCCGTCCAGTCCCCCAGAGAAAATAAATAAAATAATAACTTAACTAAAATCCATCCCAGGTTCTTTGGTGTAATTTTTGTTAATGCTGAGAAGTAGGAGAATCTGGTGGTGTATTAGAACAATCCATGACAGTTCCAAATACTCAAAAACTAGGATTTGCTGCCTGATTAGCTTCAATGTCCCATCTTTGTGGCTAAAAATAGCAAAGCCTGTGGTAATTTAATTTAAACACATTTTAAGATGATACTGTATATATGGGGGTAGTCTGAGACTATTCAGTTTCTACTTTATTAAATAAATGTGGTGATTTACAAAGGCCAGTAAAGAACTTCTGTACCACAGGTGTGCTACTTGTAGAGTTAAAAATTGTTATTTTCCTGTATGTTGCTTAGCTCCATTTTCTTCACATCCATTGCACACCTGACCTAAACTGTCCTTAAATGCCTATTTGTAATTACATGGTTTTCTGTGCAATGACTCGAGGATTGCAATAGGAGAGGGAGAGGAATTAGCCAGGAAAATTAAATAACAGTTTATACTTGCACATGTCACTTCCCTCAACAGTATCAATTACGTCATCAAAACAGAAGCCAAGTTATCCAGTATTTGAAGAAAAATATTTAACCTTCTGCCGAATATACTCAAATAAAAATGTTCTGCACTATTAGACTTCAAAAAGACATTTCCACATAATGAACACCTCTAGCAGTAAGAAGAAGTGTATCAGTAAATCAGTTCTTTTGGACTGAGTTGCAGTGACCACATTCCTACCACCAATTTTTTCAAATTAATATAGCTTTCCAAATTACTTAATGCAATCCAAAAGTATTAATTATTTTTCTAAAATTAAATACATGAAAGGATTTACCTTTACACAAATAACTTCCCAGTCCAAAACGGTGGTTAGTTACGAGGACAGGCAAGTCTTTAGCAGAAGGCAATCACAACCTTGAAATTTGGCAAGAAGAGTCTATACCGACCTTAATTAGCTAAAAAAAACCCCAAAAACAAACAAAAAACCCCCCACCCAAATCCTCTGAAGGCTGCAATGAAAGTACTCTATTTCTCCAATGTACTAGGTATGCTGAACTCACACATACCATACAGCAGTATTTTAAAGTTAAGTGTAAAATTTCTCTCAAATTTTGCATTGCAAAACTTTCATGATGGTGAATCAATACACTTAAAGAAAGCATACAAAAATGTCTTACAATGCCCAATCATTAACAGAATATGTGTGAATTTAAAAACATCCTGTTACTTCACTAACAGAACAACTCGATTTTTCTTGTCCTCTAACTTACCTTCCAAGACCGGAGCTGGTTTGAAGTTCTGCATGCCTCTCCCACATTCAGACAGCTTGTTTAAGGAGGAAGCTTCCCCTTCCCACTGCTCAGTGTTAGGGACATCACAGAACCCCCAAAGCAGGTCATGGTAGGCAAAACATCTCACCTTCTAAGGGCATGCCAGCACGCGTATTCTGTTACTAACTTAGGATCACAATGGCCTTGGCTACACAATTAAGTAACTGCACAGGATTGGACAACATTAGCGGTCAAGACACTCTTGTCCCATCCACACTAGCACTTCCATGATTGCTATGGCCCACTCAGCTGTCTCAGTAGTGACTTGAAATGTCATTTTTCCCTAGCATCAATGCACATCTTACCTTTAGCTTATTTTAAGAGACCTTCCCTGTTCACGTCCAAGTGAGATTTCTGCCGGAAGTGGCTAGCACACACAAGCACATGTACACACATTCTTCTAAGATGTAAACTATGACTAATTTCACATTCCACTGTATCAATCTGTAAATACTTTGTTTTCTTTTTTCTTCTTTTATATAAAAACAATGGCATCAGATTCTCAGCAATAAAGTATAAGAAAGATGAATCCTTGACTACACTTAACCAATTATGAAATCGCCTTTCAAACAAAGGAAACATATGCAAAAATCTGTGTATTTGATAAAGTCAACTTAATATAACAAAAAGTGAAATATGCTTATTAAAAGTGTCCTTATATAAAAATGGTCTTGCAATGTACAGTAAAATGCAATACAAATTATTATTGGTTATCTCTTCCCACCCAGTAACTAAAACAGCTATTGTTCCACAAAACTCCTTATATGCCAGTATCAAAGAAAGAAGCAATTATGTGACTAAACATTTTCTATGTTGTATGCCTGACGAATATTAAGGGTGTCTCGTAGCATCAAGTCTCGCAGACGCCATAATGCATCGGCCATTGTGGTATGAGCCCCTTTACTTTTCAACCAGTGTGATGGGAGTCGGCTCTCTTGTTCTTTTGATAAGTGAACATCTCGTCTTCGTGCTGGAAGGTCAAGAAATGGTCCAATTATCTACTGGCTTTGATATTCATCACAATTTTTCTAGAAAAAGGTGAATATAATTCTACAGTATAACTCTTAACCCTAGTACATAAGCCCATACAATTGGTGCTTAGATTTATACATCGATGGAATTAGCCTGCTGATAACAAACACATTCGCAGTCTGTTGACTTGCTTTTAACAATTACTTGCGTGTACTTTTTACTAAGTAAGCAAGAGATGTATTTAGCATTTTCCATAAAAGCAAAAAATATTAACGGTTATGAAGAAGTGTTCTGTCTGGAAACGTCCCATTCTGTATCAAAAGCCTTACCTGCAAGGGTCTGGTCCCACTTGCTAATACTGTTTGATTCAGCACTAAGCCCCTCAATATATTTCAGATAGGCTTCAGAATGAAGAAGCCTCTGTGTCTTTGGTGGAGGGGAGACGAACATGGGAGTTGTGGGCTGCTGCATAACTGGCTGACTTGCTGGGCTCTGGCCGGGATACGGAGGGGGTGCCTGCTGTCCCGGTGGGCCAAGGATTCCTATCTGCAATGACAAAGCGGTGGAGATATCACATTTGGGGGAACTGCAGGGAAGCTGCTTCACATCTGTGCATCAGGTCATCCTCATACAATGGAGCTTCAAAACAGGTTATGAGCAAAGGTATAAGGAAATTTCCCTGGAAGACTCCCACTTCAGCCAGGGCTATCATTTTGGGGTCACCAAGATGCAAATAGAGGAAATGCAAACAAGCCATATTCATACTTAACAGACAACATTGTTAATATTTCTAATCTATGTAACATACTCTGATTACTGTCATAGAATCATAGAATGATTTGAGTTGGAAGGGACCTCAAAGATCATCTAGCTCTAACCCCCGTGCTGTGGCAGGGACACCTCCCACTAGACCAGGTTGCTCAAGGCTCCATCTAATCTGGTCTTGAACACTCCACAGGTAGAGTATCCAGGAGCATCCACAGCTTCCTTAGGCAACCTGTGCCAGTGTCTCACCACCCTCAAGGTGAAGAACTTCTCTTTTATATCTAGTCTAAACCTGCCCTCTCCCAGCTTCCAACCATTACCCCTAGTCCTATCACTGCAGGCCCTTGTAAAAAAGTCCCTCCCCAGCCTTCTTGTAGCCCCCTTCAGGTACTGGAAGGCTGCTATAAGGTCTCCCCAGAGCCTCCTCTTTCCAGGCTGCTCAAGCCGAACTCTCTCAGTCTGTCTTCGTAGGAAAGGTGTTTCAACCCTCTGACCATCTTGGTAGCCCTTCTCTGGACTTGCTCGAACAGCTCCATGTCTTTGTGTTGAGGGCTCCAGCACTGGACACAGTATTCCAGGTGGGGTCACCTGGAATATCACCATTTCTCCTCTCTCCTATTAACCTTAATTATTCGTTTTGCTTCCTTTTTATTTCATGGTTTCTCTAATTTGATCAGAAACCATGTGATCTGTGAAGTACAGGGTTTACCTCTAGAACATCTAATCCAAATTGACCCTGATCCTTGGGTGACTGGGACACTTTCACAGAATAAATGCTAATCGCTATCAGGCAAAAATTGCAGGCAGACAAAAAATAAAAATTAAAAAAAAATCATCACAGTCCCACCATTGTGATTAAGTAGCAGTACTGAGAACTCTTAGCACAGATATCCTGTGGTCTGGAGTAACTCAATGTCATGACATATACACTTCTGATTTTCTTTACACTCTCTAGCCAAAATCACATTTCTCTTTATGATGCAAAAATTTAGTCAATATAACTGGAATTGTGCTGAACATTTAATCTGTATTAATCACTGAAAAGAAACATCTGATCATCACTGTTATCCAAACTCACAAATTCTGAGCTGCTGATGTATATTTTCTTCGTCAGTTTGTGAAATACGGGAGCAAACACAACAGTTTGTACCCACTCATCAACAGCTGAGAAAGTGGACAGCATCCTCTCTGCATCACCAAAGCATGCAAAATCTAAATTATCAGCAGTTTAACAGTGTTTTGAAATGACTCAGTTTAGTAGAAGGAAAACAAAAAAACCCACTGTCTTCCTTATACAGCAGAAGTTATCCCACTGGACAGAACCTAATTAGTCTAATAACAATTCAACCAACAAATACAGACATACACTCTGAGTGTAAGATGTCAACTGGTTTTAAATACATCGGTGTATATTTGGTTTATGTTGTCCGTGGGAAAGACTACGTGAATTCCCTTTTTTGTCTTAACTGAGATGTTGTTCAAATGCTAATTCAGAGCCTTAGAGCCTCATAAGTAATGGAGAAATGACTCACCTGCTGTGCAAAAGGACTTGCTCCGGGTGCTGGAGTGCCTACCATAGGGGTCACATTTTGGCCTATAACACCTATATTCCAAAATATAAAATAATTAGTCTTATTTCAGACCAGTGAAAAATACCTCTTTGGTCTTCTATAGTAAGAATTTATACTTTGATACCATTGCTCACAGTTATTTTAAGCAGATACACAACATTCAAATATCCTCTCTCCCCCAGTAAAAAGAACACTTCAGAAGTTTCCGAATGGAAAAAAAAAAAAGCCAACATGACAACTACCAAACATTGATATGTCACCTGTTGAATTATTTTAATTAAAGAAATGCAAAGTGAGTAATTTTTGGTTTTCAGGTTTTTTTCATGTTGCTTATTGATTGTCTGACTAAATATTTTCGTTTATAATATACGCCTTTGGCTTGACAGGATCTTCCTGGAATCATTTAAGAAAGGAAATGCTGATTTGCTTTAGCAACTTTCAACATTTCCTTTGTGTTCATTCACAGCAAGAGCAAATCCAAGCCATTGCACAAATTCTGCTGGATCTCACTAATATAAAATGTAACTTGTGGGTTAAGCTTAAATAGTCTTAATATATGAAACTGATGAACATTTGAAATAAATGTCAAAAAAAAAACCCTCCAGTTTTTCTTAAACATATCGAGGCTTTTCCCTATTGCACAGAGAGCAGCAGAAAACACCCATGTGAGTCTTAGAAAAATTTACAAATCTAAATGAGAGTCATGCAGTTCCTGATATTTGGTCTGAAAAAATGGAAGTTATGCATGCTGCTGCTTTTCCTTCTGTTTATGCCACTTCTCATATTCATTCATTGGAAAAGCTGCAAACTAACTATGCTCTTCCTGAGGGTTAAATTTCCATGCAGATTTCTGTATCAGTGACCAAAAGATGTGCCACTGCATTTTGCACACTGAAGCATACTTTGAATGCATTTTCCATTTGATCACAACCCCCATTTTAAATGCATCTGTCCTAACAGAATCACAGAATGTGAGGGATTAGAAGGGACCTCAAAAGATCTTCTAGTCCAATCCCCCTACCAAAGCAGGACCATCTTGAGTAGATCACACAGGAACACGTCCAGGTGGGTTTTGAATGTCTCCAGAGGAGGAGACTCCACAACCTCTCTGGGCAGCCTGTTCCAGGGCTCTGTCACCCTCACAGTGAAAAAGTTTTTCCTTATGTTAATGTGAATCCTCCTATGGTCCAGCTTGCACCCGTTGCCCCTTGTCCTGTCATTGGCCATCACCGAGAAGAGCCCGGCTCCATCTTCCTGACAGCAAGTCAGAAGTTAGGAAGAGCATTGATAATACAAGTTGTGGAATATGGCACGGATTTTTTTTTGGTACAAAGTGAAGAGGTCTGGAGGAGGGTACCCTCACCTTTCCAGCATCAGAGCATGGCTTCACTCCCAGCCCACCCAGCCCAATTTAGCACCACTTCACGTGTGGTTCTCCATTCCCAGGCATTATTTTTTGCCTAATCCATATCCTCTCAGTTCTAAACACCATACACACAGCCCACTTCTCCAGTGGGAAAAACTCTTCAAAGAAATGTATCGTCCTGGATTCACCTCCCAAACATTTGTATTGGCTGATGTGTGCTAAATGTGACTGCCTTGGTGAGTCAGGGACAGACTCACAGACACAGCTGTTTTCCCACTCCCTCTGCGTGACATTACGGTGAATCCTACACAGCAGTGAAGCTGCAGGCTGCACACCTAATACTGATGAATTAAAAAAAAACCCCAAAACCACAAGCTAACAAAAAAACCCACCCCAAAACAATTTAAATACAGATAAAAGTCTTAACAGAGCTTCTGATAAACACAGTTGCAAGTGGGATAGAGGGAGGCAAATGAGACCACTTTTGTCCACAGCTTCTTTAACTGCTGAACATATGGGATGCACATGTTTTAAATGGGCACATGAATTATCAGAGGTAAAAACTGAAAGAATCAGCAGAACACAGGGTCAGAGGGCAGATAAACGTGTTTCCCCATAATGGGGATATGTTCATGGCATTAACACTGGAAAAATGTTTATGTTTCATTCAGCCTCACTTGTCATCAAAAGTGCGGCAAAAAAGTAGCAAACTCAAAAAAATGCTCTCAAAACTAAATTCAAAATTTAGCCACAATAGCACACTAAATTCACCTCACTGTTTCCAGTTACTGTTCTACCAACAAGGTTTAATCTGAACTCTGTTTTATAATGACACATGTCAGTGCCCCAGTGGCCAAGGGGTCTTACAGGACCAGGTTCATTTAAGTGCAGTCTGCCTACTAACAAACATTAATATACTGAAAAAGAGTTTGGTAACAAATGAGAGCAATAGATTTCATTTATAAGCCCATTTAAAATAAAAAAAGTAGGAGTGGAAGGTTGCTTTTCAAATGACACAAAGATATGAACAGGCTGATTTCAGCTTTTCAGACCTCTGATACACTCAAGCACAATTGCCAAGTTTTTTGGCTGGAGCAGAACTACTGCTGGAGCAGCATCACGTTTCTCCAGTAACCTTTCCCTGACGGTTTACTGGACATGCTGTTCTGCTAACGTTTTGCGGATACCTCATGCATTCAGCAGTGCATTGTGTGTGCTGCAGCTCCACAAACCTGCAATGTTCAGAAACAAAAGCTATGACCAAAACAAGCTGCAGATAATTTCTGTAACAACTGGTTAAACAGCAAGTACATGAAAATGAAATAAGGAGCGAATGAGGATGATGTTCTTACCGGGTGGTGGGATGCCTGGGATGCCTGGCATACCTGGCGGAAGTTGGTGGGGTGGGGGCACCCCTGGGTGAAGTGGCTGCATGCTGCCCATGCTAACAATGCCATCAACTGGGCCCTGCAAAGGTGGCAGCACCGGTGGATAGCCACTTATCATGCCTTGAAGGACACAACAAATTTCAAACATGCATCAATAACATGCAATATGACCTACACAGTAAGACATGCACTATCCACACCAAAAAAAAAAGAAAAAAAGCATCTTTAGTACAGCAAGACGATACTACAATTAGTATCTTGCAAAAATGAATAAAAATTAAAAATAAAATAGTTATAAAAATGAAACACTATACTTTTGATGAATTAGTATTTAGTGTATTTGTATGTTTCTCACAAGGCAATAAATGCCAAATATTCAGATATGTTAACACAAAGAATAAATTCAGCCGCAATTAAATGTTACTAACGCAAGCAATTTTAATACAGCTTAAAGCTCTGCCATCTGTGTACAGATTATGAACATAACACTAACTACACAAGGTGCCCACACAGCCCTGCTATGTGGGCTAGCTCAGAGACCAAACCCAACTGGAACAAAAATAAAATCCTATGCATTTTTCTGCAGCACATATGCAAAATTAACACACAAAAGCCCTACACATTTGCATACTTAAAACTAACAGCAGTGACAGAGGTAATTTTTATTAAACCATCTCCAGTGTATACTAAGGAAGTAACTCAAATTTTAAACCTGATGTCACTGGATGTGCTGGGCTGCCGTGACTTACACTCACAGCACTAGACTGAAGTAAAAGGATGTAGAAGGAGCACGTGCAGTCCCTCACAGAATTTCACTGACAATGTTTTCAAGGTGTTTTTTATGACGAAGACAGTATTGTGCTGCTGCTCTTAACTTTAGTTTTCTGCATTTGAGGGAAGATAATTTAGAGCTTATTCTGGTTTTGGCTCAGGTTTGCTTCTATCCATGAGTTGAACCTACACAATGTAACTGCACTATGTTTATTATGTCCTGGAATGTAAGTTGCTTGTCACTTGCTTGTTTTCTAGGCTTTTTAATTCAAATAGATGCATTGTCAGCTAACCAAGGAAAGGGGTTGGAAAGACAATGAGAAAATGACAGAGGACAGAAGCAGGTCTAGAGAGATGAGCTAAGTTTAGAAATGCAAAATTGCTGCCACTTCTATAGTCTGTTCCAAGAAGCCACCTACTGAGTCTTTGCCCACACTCCTAGTAACTCATAAAAGAAACTTTCAGAACAGGGATTTCTGGAATAAGACTGGCCTGAACCTCACACCAATTCTGACTGAAAACAAAACTGTCATGAGTTCAGGATCGAAACAGATTGAGCAGCTCCAAAATGCAAGCTAAATTTGCCACCTCCTCAGAAAGAGTTACAAAGGTCAGAAACCTGAAATTCCAAAAGCTTTACATGGAGCAAACGAGAAGAAAATAAAAGAACTGATCTCCCTCAAACCTTCATTTTCAACAGAACACCTAGATTGACATTTATTGAATAGGTCTTAGGTACTTATTTCAAATATCTGGATGCTCATCTGTGCATCTTTAACATAGTGAAACCCATATTTCTAATGGAAAAAGTAAAAGAAGAAAACCAAAAGCATCCCTAGAACAAAGGGTTTTCACTGTAGCTACTGCCTGGTACTTCCCATGCACTCCGAGCTCCAATCACACCTTCAATGTATTTACACACACTTCTGAAGCTTTAAAACCAAAAACCTCCAATGAAACGAACCCACATTTATCAGTCATGAAAGCTCATTTGTACATTTCCAAATAAAATACTTGCTCAACAACCGGCTCTATTATTAAAGTTCTTGTCAAATCTCCATGAGAAATCAGTTCTTGTAGCTCATCACAAGGTTATAAGAGCAGCCACTTTCATACCCATGTAGGAGTTACTACTTCGATCTTAAGCTGGTAAACATGGGCAAACTATTTCCAGCTCCCACAGCTGTAATTTATGAGCTCTCAAATTACTTGTTTTCCCATTTTTATAATAACAATGTAAGATTAAATAAACTTTCATAATGCCTATATTTACAAGAAACTAGAGTGTTGTATGCTAAGAGAAATGCACCTCAGAAGGCATCCAGATTTCTTGGACCCTTGAGCCATAGAGAAGTTCTACGAACTTCTGCGATGGAGAAGTCCTCTGAACCACAGAAAAGCAATCAAATGATGGAGGAGGTTGTGAAAGAGGTCTCAACAGAACAAGATACTTCTAAGACAGACTTGTGAAAACCAAAAGATGAAAGACTATGTGTTTCAAATGGGCCATAAAAATAGAAAGAATTTAAAAAGATCCACTTGATCATCTACTTTAAGGAAGTATTGCACAATGCCAAAGTGAAGAAACTTGAATATCCAACCACTTGAATAAGATGAGGGTCTTAAATACAGGTTTGCTTTTGAGGAGGCTGCTGCAGGAAGTAAGGTAGCATGTGTAGTTTGCAGAATGCACATTTTGGGAAAAGTTTTAAGAAAGTGTTAATAGTAAGTATTACTGCCCATCAACATCTACCTCAAAAATACTGGAAAAGTGACTCAATGCCAAAACCCCAAGAACCAAACCAAGAAAACACAACCACAAGAGGATGACATTTCTACATATTCTAGATTGAAGTAGGTTACTCACAAAGAGATCAGCACCGGCTAACTCTTTTTTTTTTTTCCTTCTTTTTCTTAATATATGCACACACACACAAACACACACCAACTGCAAACAGTTCACAGGAAAATTATCAAGAACAAAGTGGGGAAAAAAAAAAAAAAAACACGCAACTCAGCGTAAACAAATGCTTTGTAATCTGGAGACCATGAACCAAATAAGGAATGTGCCTTCAGTTTAAATATCCATGCAACCTATTTACTGAAAAGGGATTTAGAGACTGTGATGAAAAATGCTTCAGGCTGTCAGCTTTAAATATGGCCACAGCCTGTGAGACAGGAAAGAAAAATAAAAATGACAAAAGAATAAATGGAGTAATTGGAATGCCTTAAGGGAAAGTTAAAAAAAAACCCCAAATGCACAAAATCCCTCCAAATACTCATTTTTACCTACTCAGCACTATTTTGACTTTGACTTAAGTAATCTAATTATTTCAATTAGAAATGGGGGAAGGAAAACAACCTAATTCATTTTCTCACCAGTGTATGGCTGATTCCCATACAAGAATCCACTGTCTTCAGATCTGATCCTGAAAGTACTTACTTCAAGCACACTTCCTATGAACTCAAGTCATGTTACAACTGGTAATGAGCACAATACCCAGCAACAGGGACCTCATGGAAGAGTTCTCCAAGCTTAGTTCTATTCTGAAAAATCACCTGATAAAACTTGCCATGTTAGCATTTCGTATTTGTTTCTGCAATGGCTCTAGATCCTAGTCTGCTCTGCTTACCAATGTCTAATTGCAACTGGATTTAAAATCTTGTTTGGATTCTGTTTGCCTCTCACCTTCCTGACAATTCAAAAAAAAAAAAAAAAAAAAAAAAAAGCCTCCTACTTTGCCACTTCCACTGATGCTGCATGCACTGGAAGAGTATTTAGCTCACTCCCCTCCTGCGATAGCAGGGCTAAATGCAAACTCTGCAAAGCAGAGTGAATAAACATGACTGCACACAAACAGAACAGGACTATCACACAAGGAAGACCCTTTTTTCCCTGTATTTTCAACAGGCTACTCACTAATGGAGCAAGTAATGTGGGACTACGAGGCTACCGCTGCCGTTATGTATATTCATTACGAAGAAAGACTGAAGAGGTTGAGCTTTTTCTTCTGTAAGAACAAAGTGACCCAAGAGAGTGTTCAGAGTTATGAAGGGGGTTGATATAGTGGATGAGGAAAAAATGGTCATAGCTCCTACGTTTTACCTGCAACGGGTGTCAACTGCTGATTGAGCATTCCCATTGGTGTTGGTGGCGGCACCACCCCCATAAGAGCCCCGACAGGAGTGCCTGCCCGGGGGGAGGAATTCTGCTGCTGTGCTGCTCGCTCTCTCTCCTGCTGCTCAGCAACTTTAGCTGCCCGCTCTGTAAAAGTATTTTAGATTTTCAGTTCTGTTTTGTAACCCAGAATTTCAAAATATTATCTGTTCATTAAAAAGGACTAGTCAAACACTGGCATAGTTTAGTCAAATATAAAGTAGAACAGACGAATCTTTTTATACAGCATATGATTTGATTTCATGTGGCTGCAGCTAAGACTTTTAGAGAACCTTTAATGAAAAATATTCCACAAAGTTTTATTTCTTTCTAAAAAAAGAAAAATAAATAATAAAATAAAAATTTAAAAAGTCAAAGAACAAATTTGATAATAACACCAGTGTTACCAACATGAAGCAGCAGTCCAGCACTAGGCTTAGTCCGCACTAGGAAAACATGGCAAAACATTCCCCCTTTTGACATCACCAGCTCAGCTAAACCAGTTGCAGCTGAGCCCAGCAGCTCTCACATAGATCTGTTACCAGCTGCTGCGGGAATTTTAAGCACCATATCTACCAGACATGTCCTAAAGTAAGACACAAACAGCAGGTAGCAGTGCCAGCTGGTGGCCCATTTATTCTTGGACTTCCCATATATTTTATTACTGATGCAGCTGAAAAGTGGTGGCAAAGTTGGGAAGCATTTGCAAAGTTGTCCTAGTGTAGATAGGTCCTTAGTGTTTGGAACATAACAAGCAGCAGTTTGATGAATGAAAAATATTTTTCTCTGCCTCTTTCTGTCATTTTCCCCATTTGGTCCCCTTTCAGCTATTTTTTTTTTTTTTTTTTTTGCTGAAGATGTCTAACTCACATTGTGCTGCTCACTGGAGGTCATGTGTGTCCTTTGTACGAAGAATCTGGTCATTATCTCAATCAAGTTTCTCACTGTGACTGCAAGAACAAAAGATCTACTGCAGGGGAATCTGACCAGAGGACAACTTTATATTAAGGGAAGGGCAAAGGGTCATGGGAAGAAGAAAGAAAAAAAACCAAAACCCAAGCAAACAAAAAAAGAGATACACTGAATGCCCACTCAAGGTGCTTTGGGGGCATGCAAGTTGCTGATTTGTTTACTCTGAACACTGTATCTGACTGACGCAATGAGGAACAACAAAGAATAAATGAATGCAGCATACATCTCCAGCAAATGTTAATAACAGTGAATGCAGGGCCAGAAGTTCTCTTGCAGTTGGTGAAAGATGAAAAATGCCACTAAAACAGCAATCAAGGTCCTCTGTCAAACAAAGGCTAAGAAGAAGTTCATTAAGGAGATTAAGTTTCACATCCTGCCAATATTACTTGTTTTCTGTAGTATATGACTTCAAATGTCCACCACGCACATGTCTCCTGTAGAATCTGTTTGTGCACCTTCTAGCACTACTTCCATACACTGAAAGACCAGTTTCATTTCCAAAGACATTTCCTTCCTTCTTGTCACTTCTGTCATTTCAGGAAGAGATGACGACGCCAGAAACTCCTAGATTTACTACAGGCAACTTATATGTGATTGAGCACAAAATACAGAAGACATTTAAAGGTAGATCCTGAAGTAGAAATATGAGATAATCCTCTTCAAAGCAGAACATGCATTTGGGGGAAAGATGAAGCAGCCATTCTGACCCTCACCTGCTTTTGGACGGCTAAAAAAAAAATGGTCAGAAAAAGCAAAAGTTCTGGAGACACTCTGATGAATGAGAAATTAAGCATTCAGCTTTATCAGACTTCAGAGTGCTGAGCTATGGAAAAGGATCAGGTGTAAGACAGTACTTGAGTTTTACCTAGTCTCTGTCCATGCTGTGACTGCCATAGAACTAACAGATGCAACAGCACTGCCAAAGGGAACTGTAGCAGGTGTCTACAAGTTCAGCCTTGAGCATTCACCTTAATAGTCAATACTAAACCCAAGTAATTTAGGCCAAGACTTGAGATCATTCAAACAACATTTCCAACACATCTCAAGAGACAGGAAAGAGACCTGCTTTGAACAGAACTTTTCCTTAAAACAGGCCTTTATCTCAGTCCCATGCATTATTTTATTTTACTTTGAGGAGTTTTCACAGTGCAGTTAGCCATGCAGGCACTTCCAAAGCTGCCTGTTGTTTGCTCAACTATTGCTAAAAAACCCAACTATTACCCTGCATATATACCAAATGAAATTTTCCGTGGGCCAAAAAGGATCTAAAATGTAAACTACTTTCCACCAGAATATGGAAAGGCATTTTTTCACTGAGGTGTCAAACCATGCCTGTTCTCTGCTCCCTGGTGCACATCCACACTAGAGGGCACATGAATTTTGACTTGTCACAAAGGAAGGAGAGGAGTTTTTCTCCTTTCACACATGGTAAGCAGACACAGTTTGGATGCTTTGTAACCCCATCCCAACCCCTCACAAACAAATAAAAGTAAGTCTAGTTCTGGGCAGACACCAAGCCAGAGAAACTGCAGCCCAAAATCCAAAAGCACTGGAAAATTTTAATTGAGAAAGAATATTAAAATGGAAGCAATCATTAACACAGTGGACATACACTGGTGCTGCCATTTACATTACAGCTATGTCTCCCTGCAGAAGTGCAAGATGTCAAGCTGCTCTAAACTAGGAAGCAATGACATGCCAGCCATCCTACTGCTTAAGAATTAGGCTGTAAGGAGGGATCTGTCAATAAAAAGATACCACGTGCACCTAGAAGAGCGTAAAAGGAAACCACAACAGAAAAAAAGTAAGGCCATAGTACTTTCACAAAGAAAGAGCATTACCATTTCCCTTCACAGCATTTGCAAAGAAAACTTGCACATAGCTGAGTGGTGCTATATTACTCTCCAGAACTGCAAAGAGGTACTACTGCAAATTCAGAAAGGACTGAGGCGGCTGAGAAAATGCTAGCATGCAAACTTCTAGTTCAAAGATCAAAGCTGCCTTTTAAGTTATGAGTATGCAGAAAACCTACCAAATCTTATTTTTAAGAAAACAAAGTTATAACTCAATTGGGCAATAACTTTTCACGGTGTTGAACTTTCCTACCTAAAGTAGCATTTTCTTCTAATAAAATTGCAACAGTTGCTTAAAAAAAATGTGGTTTATATTGGAAGTGTTGACACATTATTAACTAGACTAATAACTATGGATGTTAAGCCAATGTATTTTTGTTTGGGCAAGGGCCTGCTGTTAAGGATCAATTGTATTTTTTTTCTAATCAAATAAAGTTGAAACACAATGACCAATATCAGAAGGCAGGAAGAGAGAGAGAACGAGAAAGGTAGGGAACGAGAAAGGGGCAGGGCGGGGGGGAGTGAGAGCACACAATCGAGAAAGAAAGCGAGGTCTAAAGTATCTCATGCCTATGAAATACTCCTCGGCTTACTTCAGGATATGAAATCTCTCAACAAAATCACTTACAACAGTTGATTAATATTGAGACTGAAAACCAGGTCATATTTACAGTATCGTAACAGATTCTATACCCTTGGTTTTCATCTACCAAAGCTTTTTAGGACTCTAAGCACTGTTAATCAAAAAACTTTTTCCCACTCCGCTGTAAGCTTTCTTACCTGCCGCTACAGCTCTGAAGAGCTTCTTGTCCAAAATTCCCCCCAGTCCTCCTTTAAGGAAACTTTCACAAACCATTTTTCCAACTGACTTCCAGCCCAGAGGCTTCATGCCCCTTTACTTCTAATTTGGCCCCATTTTCTTGGTCTTTGTTCATTTGGTTACTTGTGGCAAGGACATTTATGTTATCAGTTGTGCACTACATAACTTAAAACACGCTCTTTGCTCCTCTTCAGTCATCTCTCAGTATGAACTTCTCTTTAAGGTGCATCCAGAACACAAACATAAATACCTTCTTTCATTAAACCTGTCATCTGAGTAACAGTAATGAATGTGTTGAGAAAGAAAAAAAAAGCAGAAGAGAGTTTAGCATCTTAGTTTTTATTTACCTTCATATTCTGCTTTCTTTGTTGCTTCCAAGTTTCTCCATTCAGTTCCTACAAGCCTGCTGAGCTCTCCAAAGGAGTAGTCTGGGTGCTGAGCTTTAATCACAGCTCTCATCTCACTGCTAAATAAGATGTACCCACTCATGTTGATCTTCCTTTTTGATCCCTCCTTCTTGGTGCTGCCCTTAACAGACTTGGGAGTGGACTGTGAGAAAAAGCAGTTATGACCACAAGTATACAAAAGAGAAGCTTCTTGACATACAAAATTCAAAGCTGCAAGAAACAGTGTGTAAAATATTCCTTCATTTCTCTTGAACATATTTGCACAAGGACCATCTAACCCTTGAAGAGAGACTGCACCTACTGATGAATGGCAATAGCATAATCACACACTTATGAAAAGTGCACTGGCAAGGAAAAATAAAAAAGAAAATCACTATGTTCTGATGCTTTTCAACTCTTCCACACATAATGCTGCCTTTATAACTGAGGCTTCAAAAAATTCTCAGTCAGATAACACAGAATGCTTACTATTAGCTAAAATTATTCCAAGCTGAACGAGAGGACTAAGAAAGGCTGAGTTGCAAATAAGTGACTATTCGGAAGGCCAGAAGAGAATAAAAAGTAATTGTGTTATGTCACAGATTTCATCCATTATGCTGTTCAGAAGTACTGACAACACAAGTTGAATAAAACATTTTATTTGCCATTGCACATTTTAGGGGAATGCTTCTCTACTTCCTCCTCGGTCTTTGCAACCCCTACCCTCCCTGGCTCCATGGTCCACTCTTCTCATCCGTAAATGCTCTCTATTTTGCCTGCCAGCCTTTCCTTTCTCTATAGTGTTCACCTCATTACATAAGTAGCCATTTCTCCCTGAAAAACCCAAAGCCCTGGTTTGCTGATCACTGTTTACCTGCACAACAGGTTCACATCACATTCTTATGTTGATGGGTAACAAAAATTCTGCTCCCTTGCTTTTCGTACCACAGATGCTCCTCTTGAGAACTCCCTGATGTTTCCAGCCATCAAAAATTTAACCTATTCCGACAACCACTGAGATACCACAGCTGGAACCCCCTTTTTGAAGGCTCCCTCCACCTGTATTTGTCACAGGAGACCATAATTCACCCAGACTGTGATCAGTAAGGCCCACAAATGTATCATCATACCAAAACCCTCAGAAAGCCCTTCTCATATCCTGAACATTACAAGTTTTCACATCTTGAAAAGTGTAATTGTTTCCAAATACCTGGTGGGGAAAAAAGGAAAGGAAAAATAGATGCAACTGTTTCCTTCCTTTCCTGAAATTCTGGCCACATTAACAACTCCTTCTACTTGCCACTTTGACCCTGCAGTTCAACACTTCTCCTGGCTAAAAACAAAGCTTCAGTGATACCAAGATACTTAAAAAGTCTTGCTCATCAATTTAAGCCAGGCACTGGATAAACTGAGGCATACTTGTATGTTATTCCAAACTCCACTGTATTAATTTTCAAATGGCAATCCACCCTCAGCGTTTTCATTACAAACCTAAAGACAACACTAGTCTTTTTGGGAAGAAGTCTTCTAAGTTCATCTCTAAGACAGAGGAAGTGAAGAAAACTCCGCGTAGGTTCTGGGGTGATACACAGGGCGTGTACAACCCATCCTGGCTTCTCAGGCAAGCCCACACTGGCAGATGGAGAGTTCTCAATTCAGAAACAGGAAACGCTAATGATATATTTGGCCTTTTATACATTTGCACTTAGATAGGTACATGTTTATCAACTGTTTTTCCCTTTATAGTGCTTGCAACAGTTTTGATAACAGCAACCTAATGTAAAAGCCTACCCAACAGTTTGGAAGGGCAAACAGGACTTTGAGAAACTGTAAGAATTCTGAATTAGGTTCTTGTTTTCTCCATTCTTTTACATCCTCGATACAATCATTTTTAAATTAACAGAATCTTTTCCATTTGAGTTGGATAACACATCTAAAACCGAATATCCGGTTAAGAGAAGAAATAAACCAGCACCTCCTTTTATGCCTTTTCTCAGCCATATTGCTAAAGCAAAAAGTGAAATTGCACGTCTTTTTCTTTTTTTAGATTTGACTTGACTCACAGCAAACTGCAAGAGAGCATCATCCACCTATTTGTCAAGCCCCACAATACCATGTATTCACTTGTCTTGACTCCTTTTATCCTTAGATGTAGTAAGAGATTCTTTGTTATCAGGAGAAAAAAAAAGTTTAAAAGTTCTGGGGTTTAATAGTTGTTAAAATTACATTTCACAGAACAGGAAAAAAACACATGCCTTTTACCTAGGAGCTCTGTTTAAAAAGACACTTTTCGCTTGGGACATAAATAGAAGATTATCTGAAGATGGAAGTTTATTTCTGTACTGTGTGTTAGTTATATCTCCACCAGAGTTAAATTGTGCTCTGATCGCCAGTTCAGACACAACATGTCTTTCCAAATCAGCAGTGTGAGGAATCTGCCAGGGCACTTGTGTATCATCATTCACTTCTTAGCACGCATTGCTATTGAACCTTTTCAGTCTTCCTTATTTGGGTTTTTTTGCTGTGGTGGTTTTGGTTTTTTTTTATTTCAAGTTCTAGACTTCAGAGTCCACATCTGCCTAAAGGTATATACGCATAAGTTGGATAAATCCATTAAGCCTAACTTCTCATCAGTTATTCTGAAAGCTCTGCAAGACCGTTCCATTACAAACAAGTGAAAAAAAAAAAAAGTAACCTGGTTTTTTAAAGAGAGAGATCAGAAGGCAGTGAATAGTGCAGAAGGCAGTTTGAGGACATCTTTAATGTCCAATGATCCCTGTTTCCACTGCTTTTGGCAGCTGCCATGCTTAACAAAGGTAATATTTTGAGTTATAAAACGTTACCTTCCCCTTCCTAAAGTGTTAGAGTAGTTGGTTAATGCTGGTAACACGCCTTCTATTTGTAATACTCCACAAGAATTTTCACGCTACTTATGAAATTCAGCATGTAAAAACAAGGGCAGCGAGACAACCTTGCACAGGAAAATACATTTGGTGGTCTCTCCACATGACAAAAATCACAATCAAGCCAAGCTAAAGCTCTTGATTTCATCAACTCTTTTTCATGACATCCAAAGACAGTTATTTCTATCCAGGGGTCACATCCTTTCTTCAACTACCTATGAGGTTATCACTTCACAGTCAATGTGATGTAGCAGAAAACCATACTGCTGGTTACAAAAGTGTCTGAAACTCCCTCCTGTTCCCAGCAAGTCATTCCTCTCTAATGCTGGCATCAGCTTGGATGTGGCAATGCAATGAGACAGATAAAGGGTTTAATTCAGTTGCAAACAAACTTTTTTGGTTAGGTTAATTTCCAGTTAAAGCAGTTCCTCACCCTGCTTCAACACTCAAGTTACATAAATACTTCTTGCATAAGAAACACAGCAAGAGAGGGAAGGGGATCAAAAGTCCTCCATTTAAGCAGCAGCAATGACTCATGCCGCATTCAAGAGGCATATAACCACACACAATTCCTCTTTTACTTCCTATCCATTTATCAGCAAATTAATACTAAAGCTTCTAGGATATCCAGTTGTTCTAACTTTTTTTACAAGTTCTTATCTCCCAGTAAGAATGGTAACTCGATTTAAAAAAGTGATTAATTTTTTTTTCCTTTGAGGATGATGCACAGCATTTTCTGAAAATGTAGCAAAACTGTGACACCCCAAACGTAAGCTTTTTTTAAAATTTAAGGAAAAACTTAAAAATGGGCATTAGGTAAATTGGGAATTACAATTAAACCCTCACATCCTAACTTTAAATTCAATATAAGGACCTGATATTTCTGAACAAGTGTCACAGAAAACATACTAATTAGAAATAATGTTAACTTATCATACAAAAATGTACCCTAGATATTCCTTAACTGAATTATTTCCTTTAGAAATATTGTAATGTACTTAAATGTTATCACCTGGATATCATACTGGATATGCCAAAACTGTTCCACGTAATTTATTCTATAGACTTGTAAACTGAAGTGTAAGCCTCTTCCGTGTATATGATTATGTTACTGTTTCTTTGTTTATTTGGGTTGGTGAAAGAATGCAGAATATAAAAGTTTAAAGATTTCTCAAGGAAGACCCTTACCTGTGGTGGAGTATAAGGCATTATATCCAATTCACTAGCTAACGGGGTCTGAAGCTGAGGCATAGAAGGTGTTTCAGTCATATCACCTTCTTCTTCTCCCATTTCTTCCATGTCTTCATCACCTCCTTCCAATTCAGCAAATTTTGCTTCTAGCTGCTGAATCTTCTTTTCCAGTAGTGGAGATGGTTCTTTCTGAGGAACTATGGGTTTTCTGAAAGGTGGAGGAGGAAGACAAAAAGCAGATGAGAATACACTCATACTTTACAGGAGATAGCATATATTTTTTAATGAAAAAAACAACTTTTCCTCCTTTATCACCGAACAACATGGAAATAATGGTGACTCAGGATGTGTATGTGCCTCCTTTCAGAACACTGAGCACAAATTATTCAGTGTCTATGGCCAGTGTTTCATTTCAGTCACCTGTTTGAAGGATTTTTAAATTATTTGTTTATAAGTTAGAAGGGGATTTTAGTGCAGCATTTCTGCAACAGAAGGCAATAGAAGGCAGTTAACACATCTCCCTTAGATGTTACATTTTATCTAAGTTAGATTTTATTATTTTTATTAATATCAATGTGCACCACCTGGAAAGCTATTTCTAACAAGTAATGAGGACTTAAGTATTTTAACAACATCCAAGAGAATTTACCAATCTGATAATAAAATGACTTTTCCTAAAGTCAGGAAAAGAAAAAGAAAATATCCACTGGTATTAAGACCATGAAAAGACTGAAGTTAGCTGGACTTCTTCGCAAAAGCGTGGTTAGAATTCATCTTCTCCTACAAGTACTTTATATATACACTGGGTCTGCCTGGGATGGAGTTAATTTTCTGCATAGTAGCCCATATGGCACTGTGTTTTGGATTTGTGACCACAACAGTGTTGATAACACATTGATGTAGCTACTGCTGAAGACTGCTGGCACATTGTCAAGGCCTTTTCTTTTTCCCACTCTGCCCTCCGCAGCAAGCAGGCTGGGCAATAAATTGGGAGGGGAGACAACCAGGACAGCTAAGCCAAACTGACCAAAGGGATTTCTATACCGTATGACATAGTGCTCAGCAATAAAAGCTGGGAGAAAGGAGGAGGACAGGGGGACATTGAGGGTTATGGCACTTTTCTTTCCAAGTAACCATTACGCATGTTCAGGCCCTGCTTTCCAGGAAACAGCTAAACACCTGCCTGCTGATGGAAAGTAGTGAATTAATTCCTTGGTTTGCTTTGTTTGCACATGCAGCTTTGCTTCTCTTATTAAACTGCCTTTATCTTGACCAAGGAGTTTTTCTTCCTTTTGCCCTTCCGATCCTCTCCCCTATCCTGCTGCAGGGGTGTGAGCAAGTGGCTGGGTGGGGGCTTAGCTGCCAACCAGTCAGTCCACTGCAACACAAAAGAATGCTCAGGTGACCCCTGCCCCATTCCCACCACATTTTTACCTAAAATAGTATATTTCGTCATCTACAACTTTTGCAGAGAGTGAAAACCTCTTCAGCCCTTTAAATTTCTTCATTTGTTTGTCACTTTCATTGTAGCGGCTCTCACAAAGAAAAACATCGTTTTCAGAGATTTCTGTTGGTCTGCAGGAGAGGAAGTCTTTGAACGACAGAACCACACATTTTCCTGCAGAAATAATAGAGCTGGGTAAGAAGGCAGCCACACTTGCAGACATTTTACAAAAAATACAGAAACTCAAGTTTTTGCCAGTCTCAAAAGTTGGGAAGATTTTCAGTATTTGGCGCAACTACAGAAATTACACCAATCGATATCCCTGTTAAATAATGCCACTCAGGAGAAACCCACACAAACTTAATTCAGCTTTTAGATTTTTTTTAAAGAACAAGAAAACCTGCAAAATAACAAAACCCCATGATCACTAGTCAATTAACTATATTTAGCACAGCCCCATAACTACAAAACAAAGTACATAGTGATCATCTTATGCAACAAACCAAATTTCAACCTCCTTCTGGACCAACTTTCTGTGTAACACATACTGGAATAACTACATTAATAAGCAAGAATAATAGAGTTTTCTGTTCTCTGTCTGCAGACAACGTTTGATATCATACATGTAACTCCCTTATTGTAAGAAAGCTTCCTTATTGTGAAAATTCTCACTACAGGTCCCAAAGACAGGAATGCATATTAGAAATGAACTAAATAATCTCTCCTCCCCTACTCAATATGAAAAAAACATACTTGGAATCAAGCCTACACATAACTATAAAATCACTTCAGATTGTATAGGAAAAGAAAGTGAGTGTCCACTGGATTTAAAGTTGTTAATAATTACCCAAAATGCAAGTCATCGGACAGGTCTCCTCCAAGTTACTCAAAAAAACTTCCTTCTTGTAGAACATTTTAGTTGGTTCGTGTTCAGTTTCTTCAGGATGTATAAAGATTGGACCAAAGAAATACGCAGCTCCATCTCGCACCCACATCTTTTCAATTCTGGAAAGCAAACCAAACCACTAACATAAATGAAAGGCTGCCCCTCCTAAATGAGACAGCTGGATGCACTAGGTTGTTCACAAAGACTGTCAGCAAAAAAGAAGTACAGGAGAACAGCCTATTCCATCTGTACAACTGTACCACCTTTTTACTAGGCAGCTGAACTTTCACCTCAATCTATTAAGAGCCTGTAAAACTTAGCTTCATTCAGATGATTTTTTTCCCATCCTCTTTTATACTTTTTGCAACAAGCCCGTCTTTTGTCCAAGTTATTTTTATAGACACAAACTGCAAATACAGAAGTTGCACCTACCTTCCTACTCGAGGTCGCACTAACCCATGTGATTTTATGAAGACACAGTCCCCAACCTTAAGCCACATATCATTGTAGCAGAGCTGTTCAAAGTAATGGCAACCAGGTTCTCCATTGGACATTTCTACAGGAACATCTTCTTTGTCCTGTGGAACAACATGCATTTAGAAACTTGTGGAAGAAGGAAAATCAAACACATAAATAAAAAGATGCCAGGTGCAAGTAAAAGACTTGGCTCTATCTTTACATTACCAATAACAGGTAGCACTAAACAGAGCTGTACGTGTGAAAGTGATGGGCTTTGAAATTGAAAAATGAAATAGCAAAGCCAAATACACCCTCCATGAATGTCGCAAGCTTTCCTATTTCACAAAGCTGTAATTTTGCCAGAACAGTAGTTTACAGTCCTTTTCTGTTCTACTGCTTCAAAGTTAACTGGCCAAGACAAGCCTTGTCAGCATATTTTGATGGTTTGTTTTAAAGCACAGTAACGTGCTTAAGAGGCAAAAACTGAGTATATGGCCAGGTTAACATACATACAAATTTAATAATTCAACTGTCATATACAATAATATGAACAGTCCATGTATTGCTTGCAAATTCATACCATTTGCCCTATTTAATTTCTTACTTTTTAGTCAAAACTCACACTGTGCCTCATTTGATCTTTTAGTCTAGGATTTCGAAAGCCAATGAAAACACAGGCTATCTCCTCAAGGTGGAAGGAAAAGACCCTACAATTTCTCATTCTCTTGGTAGAAATAATTCCTTTTTTTGTCATGATGTGGATAAATACAGTAATATATAGTAACTGTCTGATTAAAGCTGACAATAAGTGCTGGGTATTCAGTTCTGAGGTTCTGTTAGAGAACTCAGTGTAAAGTGGATTTATTTTATGACTCTAAGTTTATTTTTTATGGCTCAATTTATTTTACATAAATTTAATTCAATGTAATTGAATTTAATACATTTATTTATATTTATTTCTTTTATGACTCTAAATACAATAAAATAAACCATTTTACCCAGCATGCTGGACAGAAATCTCCTCAAGCATTTCAACAATAAATCACTCAGTTATCAACCATAAATAGGTCATAAACAGAATATTATGTATGCTTCTGCTGCCTAGCTATCAACTACTGTACTGAAATACTACATAACAAAGCATTTCAGCATTGCCATGAACTAAAATTAGACTTTTAGTTCTACTGATTCTTTAGGCCTAAAGCTTACAGTAAAAGTGTAATTTTCTTTTTTGAAGTGGTAAAAAAACCCCAACAACCCCTTCGCAAGATCACAAGACAGCATTTGTAGAATCTAGCAAATATGTATACAGTTTAGTCTATTTGTATTTTGTTTGTATTTATTTACAAATGTGTATAATGTCATTTATAACAGAAACATTCTATTTATTTATATTTCATAGTGTCTGGATGTTGTGAACTGAAGTCATGAGGGCTTATATTTTGTCATCCTTTATCTATCAAACATAATTGATGTTCCACTTGCTATCTTACCTTTTCAAGATGAAGGATACTTTCTCCCACCTTACTGTCCTCCAATGTTTCAGCATGTTTCTCCTCATCTACTTTGTCTGTATTAGCAAACACAGAAGCAACGCGGACTACAGGCAGGGGCACATCTCGTGGGACAAATCTGACAGAGCTTACAGGCATAGTCCACAGTTTAATCTTTTTAAAAGATTTTGTCTTCGCAGAATAACGTGACTCGCAGACATAGACATCATCGTCTCTGAAGTTTTCAGGACACAATTTAAAATATTCCTGCAGATTGAAGAAAAAAAAATTAAATATTTCAGCAACACACACACCCCCCCCACAGACACACAGTGAACTCTCTCTCATGCTTCCTAGTTTTTTTACACATTTCTATCAGAAACACTTTCAGACTAACAAAGCCTTTCTGCTAAGTTCTTTTCTTCCAGTTTGACATCCAAGTTATATTAATAATTAAAACCAAACAACAATCCCACCCTTAGAGAAGAAGCTAAATTCAGTACTGGTTGTCACGCAAGAAAAGTTAGGTTTTATTTGCTTACCAAAATGTTACATTAACAAGTACAAGATCTGCAGCCTAAAACCATCTTTAGAAGTTTTCTGAGCTTTGACTTGGGAAGAGGACATGATCAGTGAGTTTGGGGGGCAAGGGGAAGTAAGCTCCATGCTCATTGACATATGACCGTGAGACCCATTCATGTACTCAGAAGCTTTGTTCCATACAAACACACTGCTTTCAAAAAATTGGCTGAGTATGTTACAAACAAGCCAAAAATCCTCAGCGCAAGGATGATGTGGAATCAAACTTGACACAGAGACGACAGATTTCATCCTCTTACCAAGCCATTCATGCCTCCCTCTACCAAACCTAAATCTACATGTTTTTATGGGAATCTTTAAGAAGTTACCTGCAATTTCTCTACTACATGCTCTGAAAAATCAGTTAGCTAATTATTTAATAAGCATACAATTCTACAAACGAACCAGCACCAGGAGATACCATCACTTGGGTGAACTACATATCTCATTGTATTGGTTTTGGCTGGGGTAGAGTTAATTTTCTTCATAGCAGCTGGTGTTGAGCTATGTTTTCAATTTGTGCTGAAAATAGTGTTGATAATTCAGGGATGTTTTAGTTACTGCTGAGCAGTGCTTACACAGAGTCAAGGCCTTTTCTGCTTCTCATGCCACCCCATCAGCGAGGAGGCCGGGGGTGCACAGGAAGTTGGGAGGGGACACAGCCGGGACAGCTGACCCCGACTGGCCAAAATGACATTCCAGACCATATGATGTCATACTCAGCATATAAAGCTGGGGGAAGCAGAAGGAAGCGGGGGATGTTTGGAGTTATGGCGTTTGTCTTCCCAAGTAACCATTATGCACGATGGAGCCCTGCTTTCCTGGAGATGGCTGAACACCTGCCTGCCCATGGGAACTGGTGAATGAACTCCTTGTTTTGCTTTGCTTGCATACACAGCTTTTGCTTTAGCTATTAAACTGTCCTCAACCCATGACTTTTACTCTTCTGATGCTCTCCCAGATCCCACTGGCAGGGGAGTAAGCCAGTGGCTTTGTGGTGCTTAGTTGCCAGCTGGGGTTAAACCACATCACTCATGAAGCAAATGAAGAATACAAACAGTGCAAAAGAGCAAGTCCTATTTTATTTAAGTATTAGTAGAATGTGTCAATGTCCCTATGTTAGAATACCTACAGCTCTTCAAGAAAACAGCAGAGAACATATTATTTGCTTAACAAATCAGTCCGAATAGTCTCTCACCTTGACAAACATGACCACACATTTGCCTAAAATTTTGCTAACAGGAACTTTATTGTAATAGTCACTTTTAAAAACCTCTTTCTCCAAGAATTTGCGTGTTGCAAGATGAAATGTTTCATTTGGTCGATAAAACCAACAGCCATACAGCCACTTCTCTCCTTTAAAAAAAAAATAAATAAAAAGAGAAGAGAGAAAGAAAGAGAAAAAAAAATTTTAAACAGCATTATCTTCTAGAGTACGAGCAAGAAAACACAACTATAGATTGATTGATTAATCAAATAGCCATGTAGACATTTATACTGACAGCAAACTGTTTTAAAACAGGACAAGATTCCTTAACTGTTTCAGGAAGGAAAACTAGGCTGCTTAAAAAACCTGACAATTGTTTTTTCCCCAGTAAAACCTGACTCAGCAAAATAAAGAAGGAATCAGTTCTTATTTCTAAATTTTGACTTTTAGGCTTTGAAATGGCTTCAAAGTCTACACAGTAATCACCTAATTATTTGAAGAACCTTGGATAACTGGCTTTAAGTTTCTTAAGAACTCTCTTCCGTGTTACGCTGTGACAAATTCAAATTGTTAACAATTGATTCATAAAGAAGCTACAAATACGTTTTTCCAAAACAAAGAAAATCTGTAATCTGTAGACTGAACCAAAATAAAAAGTGCTATTCACTTTCTCCATCACAGACAAATGAACATAAGAAATATCCAGCTGGCCAATGGTCCATCTGCCCAAACACACTGCATCCTACCGAGTGAGCAGGACAGGCTATTAGGAGAACACATTTGATCTTGGCCACTCTCCGTAACTCATTCCACTCATCATACAGTCAGTGCATTAGGGGTGTCAAAGAACTAGTCTCTTTATCTGGCTATTATTTCCTGTTTATTCCCTTTATTATTTGGTTTAGACCTGTTGTATATGGACTTGTCTCGCCCATTTTTGAACCTGCTGACACAATCTGCCTCCACAAGCTCCTGGGGAAGCCAGAAGGCTCACTACCCACTGCATGAAAAAGTCAAACACTTCCATGTGTTTTTATCTGATTTATTAGTGTCAATGAGTGCCCTCTAACTCTAGTACTGCTGGATTTGTTGAATAGTATTTCTGCACTTACCTTATCTACCCAGTTCACGATTCTGCAAACCTTAATTATATCCTGCCTTACATTTCTGCTCTCCAAATTTAAGAGTCACGGTCTTTTTAATCTGTCCTTGTAACACACATTCTATCCGTTTAAAAAACAGCGCAAACAAAATGGTTAACTCCACTATACTCCACTACAGTTCTCAGCAACTGTAGTTTCCAGGATTGCTGAGAGTGCGCCATGCTTATCTGATACTCTTGACATATTTCTAGTCTTCCTTACACTTCAGAGAAGTACCTGCTGCAAACAGAAGGCATCACTGAAGAGAAAAAACAAAATAGTACTTGTTATGGCTTGATTTGGCCTAGGAAATGGAAGATTCAGCTCAATTCTGAAATTTAACAAAGACAAGTTCTGAAACTGAGTTGTTCTGTGGAACATTTGCAGTTAAACGTGCCCAACTGGTTCAGATTTCTCAGCACAGAAAAACCCCATGTGTTCTGTGCCTAAATTACAAGAAGCCCATCTGACTTAGAAAAACCTATTCTCTGGGATGCTTACAATTTGAGGGTAGGCAGAGATGAAAAACAAAAAAGCATGTGCTGATCCAAGAACTTTATATTTGCAATATTCTTTGGAACAAGGCAACTCAGAAACAAGAAAAATACTCAGCAGTCCACAGATACTTCTGCAAATAAAATAAACAACATCTACACAGAAGCAGCTCAAATTGGAAGTTTTAAATAGTAAGAAGTTTAACCATACTGTTTTCCTATAGCAAACACATCCTTACCAGCTGAATCTTCCCACAGCCTCTCAATACAGACTATGTGAGGTTGCAAGCTGGCTTCAGCAGGCTCCACATACACATAATCTCCTACATGGTACATGCTGTTCTTGAAGCTGCAATCCTGGCTGTAGGTCCGATGCAAGCTTGACAGCCCAGCTGATCCAGAAGAATCTTCACTCTTTTCAGCTTCTTATTTCAAGAATGGAAAAATAGAGATTAGCAATGGCACATTTCCACATTAGCCAAGATTACTGATATGAATGCCCTCACCCTTTGCTGAGTGCAGAAGTGAGACATGCAGAAATGCCACATGATACCTGATGTGTCCCTCTATCACTGACTTCCAGCGTGAAAGAAGGGTTTAAGTGTGTTTTGTGCTGCTAGTCTTTCTGCTACTGGTGCTGCTGAAGGCTGGGTTTCCCTTCTTAGCTGAATTTTATTGAGCCCTCCCAGTGAGTGAAGAGGAACTCAGTGACAGCACTGAGCTTAGAAGCCTTCAGAAAGGCACATTTTGCTTTCTTTAGGGTTTTTAGCTCTCTAAGGAAGACAGAAAAAGGGCATCATAGCTGTTGTCCCCTTATAATACTGAGCCTGGTTGGAACAAGCAGACTTTACTGCTGCTGACATCAGTGCTATGTGGGAAGATGAACCATATTAGAAAGACAATTCAAGGACAAAGACCTAATGGCTCTGCTCCCATCTGTGGAAAGGAGCGATTAGAGAGCTTTATTCATCCCCCTAGACATGCTCCATAATGATTATATAGACAGTTACAGACAGGAACTGCGAAACACAAAGGACCTTCACAGTAGGTTTTCGCCCTGCAAAATAGTGCAAGCCCATTCCTCTTCACACTTATGGTAGCCAAGTAGAAAGGCAAAAAGGTTTACTCAAATACCATTTTTTTTAGCAGCGTTAAAAGCATGATCATAAACACCACCAACAGCACATCAAGAAACCAGTATTTGTCAAAAAGGAAACGACTAAAAGGTCAATTTGAACAGCCACTGCTAAGTTTATTATCAACAGAAAGCTAATGTAAAAAAATACTCTTTTCTTTTGTAATATCCTTGAAACGATACTACTAATACCCCAATGTGTTCTGATTAAAGAGTTTACATAAGGTTAGTATCTACCTACATCCCCTTCTTAAAAGCTGTCCAGCCTGGCTGATAAGGATCAAAATAAAATAAACCTCTCATAACTTTAAAATACAAAACTCTTGGTGGACAACCAGACTATTAAGGTCCTTTCAGTAGGCAAAGCTGCAGCAACAGCAGGGAATACATCATATGCATAGGTACATTTTTCAATTAATACATTTACAATTAATGAAAAGAAAGTAGCTACCTCTCTTCTCCTCCTCTCTTTTGAGCTTATCCTCCTCTATTTCTTTGGGCAACTTTTCCTTCTTTTCCTTTTCTACATCATTATGAAGATGCTTGGTAGTATAGCTGAGAGCGGGTGACAGAAGAATCTCTCCATTCTTACAAAGTTCATCTCGAATTTTAATAAAGAACTGCTGAAGTTCAACTGCATCCTCGTAGATCTCTGAATCAGTTCTGTACAAAAATACGTGCAACAGGACAGAAACAGTTTGTGCAGAGTCAAACAGGATCCTAAACACATACTCATCAATAGCCACACTTAGGGATAAAGCTAAAGCTTCACTCTACCAATAGATTTCTGCTCTTACTCATAATAAGCAGCAGACGACACCGGCAAGTCATGCTCCATCTGCTACTCTGCTGTCAGTTTATATTATAGTTTATGCAAAACAGTATTTTTGTCTACACCAGTCCTGAAAGATCAGAAAAATCAAAGGTAACTAGTTGCAACTAAAACTACTTGCACTGGACCCCTCTTAACTTCTGAAAACTTAAGTAGTAGCAGTATCATTAACAAAACTGACTTATTTTTATTACCCATAGTCCTGATGGTAGACCTTCTCTCCTTCAGAGTCAAGACCTCACCTGCACATCCCAAGTACCCTACCTAATTCAAGTACAACACTGCAAGAAGTTACAAGTATTCATAGTTTTTGCAGAATATTACCTTAACTCATACAAATGTGATTGCTCCAAAAGAGTAATGTGCTAGTCAAGCAGTTAGTGAACAGCTCCTCCTCTTTGTTTTTTCAATTTGAAAGTTAAAAAAACCTGGTTTTCATGAGGCATGCCTTTGGAAGATTAATGTCAAAATTATCTCATGCCAGAAACCTAACTTTATCCTTCTTTTTAAATCAAAGTATACATTCCAGTAAAGACCTGACAGAGCTTTTGAGATTTAGTTTTCTAAACACCCACATCAAGAAAAGCAAACACTTTAAAAAAACCTTCAGTCTTTGTCTAATATTAACATGCAAAACTCACGTGATAAGACAAAGGATACCTGAAAAATATGGCTTCACTCACCTGTTCATTCTCCTTGCCCTCTCCAGTACCTCGAACATATTCTCCTGGAATAAGTCCAATCTTCTATAGCGATTATTTTCAACGTTTTTTCGGATAATATCAAAAGTCAGAGGAGGTTTATTTGGGAAGTTGGGATCAATTTTAGGAATCTCAGCTAAGGAATCACTGTAGCATCTACCCTCATCATCCTGGTGGCTCATAACAGATACAAAAAGGTTATGGATAAGTTCCTGAATCAGCAAAGTGACATTGGGCACATGAGAATCCTCATCTCCTTCTATTTCTCTCCGAGTTTCAAGCAAAACTTTGTGCAGGACCAGGGCATCTTTATAAATCAAAGACTCTGGCTCATTATATGTGCAAGCGTTATTGAACATCATTACAAAGTCCTCTACCATGGAATCTATATCCTGGTATTTATTTGCCATCATATGACTTCTGATCTTCTCCATGTCAACGGGCTTTTTAATGGTTACATAATAGTCAGGAAGTTCAGACCGAGATGGCAGCCTCAAGAAGATGGCGCTCAGTCGCCTGCCTCGTTTATCCGTGTAATTCTTAACTGCTTCATACACCTCATTCAATTTCTGCTGCATTGGAGTCATGTATTTCGATTTTTTAGGAGAAATGCCACTTTTTCTACCTAAGCAGAGAAAAAGAAAAAAAAAAATCATTACAAAACCAGAGCTTGCACACTTCTTTGTCCATCTCCTTTCCACTGGAGAATTACTTAGTGAAGAACCACTTTATGGTATGAGCAGAAGACTAACAACATGGAGCCCTTTCCTAGTTGCAGCTTGCTTTATTTTTCAAATTAATATTTTTTTTAAAAATGTTATTTTTAGCAAACACAGAATCATATGTTACTATATGGTCCACCTGGCGAAGGTCTCCTCAGACTCAGTCATGGAAAACATCATTTCCTACCTCATGTTATCAATAACTCCTCTAAATTCAGTTTGGTCTTACTATAGTGCTCTACATGAATTTCTCTCTACAGCCATTAAAAATCCAGTCAGCACAGGGTTTTTGCTATCACTAATATTAAGGATTCTAAATATTATCAGATGCCTTTATGACACGTTTATGCCAAATTAGAGAGGATTATTACAGATAAAATGTAAAATAAGGCCTCCCATGGGATTATCAATCAGATTAGCTTTCTGATTAATTCAGTATCTGTTACTGTACTGCAGTCTCTGCCTGTGAATTCTCTACTACCTGTACCTTACCTAAGAGCTACGCATTTCTATGTTTAAAAGGGCTGTGTGCAGTTAGTTTCCTTAAGCCTTTCTGTGCAATTTTGACCTTCTCAGTTTGCTATGTTCTGAACACATATTAAAGGAACGTAAGGTTTGAGCAGCAGCAAATCTAGTTTGTAAGGGCAACAGCTCTAGGAACAGACATAGTTGGAAATTTTGCTTCTGTGTTTTTCATGGCTTTCAGTAATTTTCCAAATAAAGCTCACATTTTTTTAATCATTCTGTGGAAATTCCAGACATTTGACCAGTGAAATTAAAAGCTTTACTCAGTTTTACTCAGAAGCACCTTACCTGTAAGCAAGCCCGGTAGCACACATTAAGTGCGCTAACGAAGTGTTACTGAGCACATAATGCAGCATCTTACATTCCGATAACACCACATGACTAAACGTGTCTTCCAACCATGCTAAAATTTTTTTTCTTCATTCTAAATTACTTTTCTTCAAAAACACTACATGCAACAACCAAATTCTATTATGTGCACATATAAACACACCATTGCTGTCGTCACAATTTTGAAAGTATAATTCTAGTTTGCATGTTGGTATAAATTTGCAGATCATGTCTTCTATTCTAAAAGGAAGATCTGTTAACTTGTATTGTTGGGTTTTCATACATGTTGAAATTAGACATAGGAATGTACGAGGTTGCCTTACTTAGCTTTAGTTTAGGGGATGCAACATCATCATCTTCAGCCAAGGGTCCCAGTTCTTTCCTTTTTTCTTTAAGGATCTTTTCCAGCATATGGGCATCGTTGTATACCTATTAATTAGTAAAGTAATCATAAAACAAAAAAAACAAAGTTTACTGTGTCTAGACTAGTTTAGAACTAGCCCCCAAGAAACATTTAAATGTTAGTTGGAAAAAGCTGAATGCAAACCCAAGTACTTAAGAGCTTATTTCTCAAATGTTCACCTTTAATAGACATACCAGTAAGCAGAATTGATGAACACTATCTAAATCAGGGAGATATAAATCTTGAATAAATTACCCAATTAAGCTGCATTTCTATACCAAAGACTACAAAATGGTAAGGTGCAGTTGTCTTATCAACTTCCTTATTAAACCATTCTGCTGGGCAATGAAAGATCTCTCGAAGTATTGTGATTCCAGCAAGGTACAAGGGACTAGAACAGTCCTCCTGGGTCTTCAAATCCAACCGCAGTAAATGCAACCTCATCATAAAGTCCTGTACAGTAGCTGATCAAGTTCCTCATTAGAAGCAGATGGAGGTTTCTTACCACCACCCTGTTGCACAACACCATGCTTGCAGCCTGAGAAACATCACAGTATAGAAACACCGTACAATGTATTTGTGAAGAAAAGCATATTCGTTTCAGACTGCTGTTCCTAGGCTAAACAAGTCAGGTCTTCTAGTCTGA